AGACAGCTATCGGGATTCAAACACAATATATTGCTCTATTTACTAACTTGAGGTCAATGTACGCTTGATACTCTTATTATTTATCTATTTGTATATATATATATATATACATATATACACACATATATATATATACTATTTTATATAACAGGTTTAGTTATACATATGATAATAGACAAATAGTTTTTTAAAGAAAAGCCTATTGTTGCTATCGGGATGGATTCGAACACAATATATTGCTCTAATTACTAACTTGAGGTCAATTTGATACGCCTTTTACCTGGATTTTTTTTACATTTTTCTCAAGGTTGAATGATAAGCACTGAATAAATAAATCATATGGTATAATGAATATTTGGCATGGCGATTCAGGTCTATCAGATGATAAATACAGTATAGGTTTATTAAATAGGCCGTTATATTTCACTTTAAGTGTTTATACAAATCATCCGTAACAACTATATTAAAATGTAATTTAGAAATTGACATTTTCATCGCTTTTAAATTTGTTTAATGGTTTTAAACATTTCAAATACATATACATATACACCCATACATACATATATGTATATGTATATATATATATATATATATGTGTGTGTGTGTGTGTGTGTGTGTGTGTGTGTGTGTGGGTGTGGGTGTGTGTGTGTGTGTGTGTATATACATACATACATTAATAACTTTTATTTGCTCTTTTCCATATATACATGTTGGGGATCCACCAAGGCGGATTACCCCCACTTAAGCAAATCATAACATAAAGACCTTTACTTTCAATGTTTACAACTTTCTGTTCCAATATTTAATTATCAATGGTCATACACCTACTTCGCCAAGTATACCATGAACCAATCATAGCGCTTACACTGCAATATCAACATATTGTTTTACACATTTCCTTGTTAAACCCCAGGGTATTCAACCCTGGCCAAAATCGTCTATGCACATTACCAAAAGAACCAACGATGCATGCTATTACTTCACATTTATATCCTATAGTTTCAATAATACCCCTAATTGGAACATAATATGCTACTTTCGTGGTATAACATTCGTCAAGAAATGCATCGTACGGTGTCGAGATTTCTATTATGTAACATCTATTTTGATTGTTATCAATTAATAATATATCTGGTTTTCTGTGTTCTATTGCCTGCAATTTGTTATCATCATCAAGACCAAGCATATTGCTTTTTACTACTTGATTCTCAAACACTTGTACTTTATCTAATTTAATCTTCAGTACCGGTATTCTCTGACAACATAATTAACTATTTGATCATGACGGGCAATATGGTGTTTTCTAAGATTCATACACCCATTTAATACATGAGACACGGTTTCGAATGGGTTATTACAAAGTTTGCACTTTTTTCATAAGCATTGGGGTAGTAAAGATTTAACAACCAGTGGCATTGTAATAACTGCATTCTACCTTTGACTACAAACGATACCATCTTATCTGTTAATTTTTTTTCCACAGTTTAAAAATTTTACCCTGTGATTCTCTCTTTCTAAAGTTATTAATTCGTTCTCTTAAATATTTTGTCTTAACATATTAAACATGACTTTATGCGATCTAATTATAAGTTTCCCCTGTCCTTCATTTTCGTCACATTCGTAACCAAACACCCTCTCATCAGATTTGATAAGGCTAATATTTTCACCAATACAAAGCTCATTAATTTCAATCCAGAATGATTTAGGCCAGATGGATTTGCTTCCTTTAATGTTTCTTCCTTCATTTGATTCATTCTTTGGGTTGTCTACCTTAGCAACTTTCCTTTTCAACATATGTAAATCAAAAGAATCAGAAGCTGCATCTTTAACGTTAACATCATCACAATTTAGCTTCTTCGTAACATAAGTTGTCACAGGGTTAATTACACCAAATCCACCTCTCCCAATGGAATGAATATAATATCAACATTTGATGATTTATTCAGACCAAGCCAATTACGTACATATTCAACAATTTCTTTTACTACCGTATGTCTTAACAATAGGGAAGTACATATTGATAATAATTGTTATTGTCGTGATGGAATAATAGACAATAACTGGATTTGCGTCAGGAGAAACATGTATAGGTGTAATTTTTGTGAAATCCAGTTATTGTCTATTATTCCATCACGACAATAACAATTACTATCAACACTGCAGTACTCGCTGCTTACTTGGACTCGAATTCAACCCTGGCCATCAGGCGCAAGCTCGGTTGTCTAGAGGTATGATGCCAGGCTAGTGATCTGGAGATCGTGGGTTCGAGTCCCACCCGAGAACAACTTGCGATTTTTTTCGCAGTTGTTTTCAAATGTACTGAGTATTCGGTACATTTCCACGTCAGGTAGGGCAAAATCTGTCTCTTATACACATCTAGATGTGTATAAGAGACAGATATATATGTATGTATGTATGTACGTATTTGGTAAGCAAGGCTAAAATATAAACAAAACACTAGTCCATCATTGCTGGTAAGTTAAATAGGCGTAGTGGTAGTCATACTACTTCTACAGCGACTGCGACTGCTACTGCGACTGCTGCTGCTACTGCTGCTGCTGCTGCTGCTGCTGCTGCTACTACTACTGCTACTACTACTACTACTACTACTACTACTACTACTACTACTACTACTACTACTACTACTACTACTACTAATTACGCCGCCGCTAAGTCAAAATAATTGCTTACAGGTTTTACCCATGAATAGGGTATTAAAATAATATTATGCTCGGTTTCACAAGGCAAATCGTCATAATAGCATCACAATCTACACAAGTACACAAATCCCTGACCTTGAGTAGCTACAGTGAAGTACAGGTCTAAGTCCTCTTCTATGGTCTGAGTTCTATTATTCTACCAAATACATGAGGCCTAAGGGCCTAAAGGCTGTTTGAAAGCAATGTACAGAGTTTACTGTAGTGTTGTCTCAGTAGCTTTTTGAATTCCATAAAATTAGTGTTTATAAACGATCAGTACACTGTAAAAACAGCGTGGAGGATTTAAACGCCAAGCTCCTTGCAATGGGTGCCACGTTTAAAAGCTGCCTAAACACATCTAATTCTAAACACGTCAAGATCCTAAGCACAAGATATGTCTAAACACGTTTAATTCTAAACACGTCAAGATCCTAAGCACAAGCTATGTCTAAACACGTTTAGCTTTTAAACGTGTCAACAAAGACAGGACAACATTGCAAGGAGCTTTGTGTTTAAATCCTCCACGTTGTTTTTACAGTGTAGACAATGTGTTTATATCAGTACAGTACATAAAGGCTATACAGTAATACCTCTTACGCAGAATCAAACGGCCAGAATGTCTATTTTTGACCGTAGGCCTACTATTAAAATATATAATTTTCTCCGTTTCGTGGCCGGTGTCCCAAAGGAGGGGTTAACTGTAGTTTTTGTCAATGAAACAGGTACAATCGAAAATCACTCACTAAAACCAGTGTATGGGCATACTGTACTTATAAACAATAGACTTAATTATTTGGAAGACAAAGCGAAAGCTCTATTTAGAGACATTTTGGCCTCTTGATTCTGTGTACTAAAGTTATTTTTGTTAGTTTTCTTACTACTTGATTCCGATTTTTTATAAAAATTGGTTGTATAAAGACTTCGCATCGTATCGTAAACTGCAACATCAACAGGAACATCTGGAATTGTAGCCTACTGTACTTCATATAATACTCTTTCTTGTTAGAGGGTGCTCTAGAATGCATCGTATATTTATTTTTCTGATATCAACAATAAAACAAAACAAATATGAAAAAAACTATCCCAGTAATGTGTGTCCAGAGGTGAAAAACACCGCTTAAAATGGCTCACCCCGTAAGCTATTCTTATAGCCAAATAGGCTCATTTTATAAGTCGGTCGAACAATAGGTGTATTATTATTATTATTATTATTATTATTATTATTATTATTATTATTATTATTATTATTTATTAGAATATTAGTATTAGTATTAGTATTAGTATTAGACACTCCTGTCCAGAAGACACAAAAACAGAAAAAAATCACTGCCGCCAAAACATTGTAGCCAATATGTGTGCGCCACCAACTAATTACTACTTCAGTTGTTGACATGTATTTTTTCAAGGCCTTGGGTTTTTGCTCATCTTTGAATGCAGTTAAGGATCGTCATTAAGCTACATGTGCCCGTAAACTGGAATGCATTGGAAAGCTACTACTAGGGTTGATTTGTTCAGGTGGGTGGGGGAGATATGAAGACAAACCCCCATTCACTAATTGACAAAATATATGTAGAGTACAGTCTTTACCTCTAGCTATTATTGCATTGTTTATTTATCTCGCTCTTTCTGAAAAAAAATGTTCTAATGATATTGTTTCTTCCTTTATTATCAACCCAGGAAAATAGCAAGTTGTCCGTCCGAAAAAAAAAAAGAAAAAGAAAAACACTCTAATGTAGTAGCATCAAGCTCTCTGACAACTTCATTTGATTATTTTAGACATTTAATATTATCATTTGAAGACGCAGGCCTACAGCTTTTTGTTGACCTTCCTACAATTGTTTGTATTTCACAGGGATCGAACTTCTACGAGGAACGCTTTCAAAAACATGGAAAATTATTTAAGACTCACATTCTGGGGAAGCCAGTTATACGTGTTTACGGGGCAGAAAATCTACAGAAGATATTCCAGTTAGAAAACGAGATATTGTCACCGTCACTACCACATTCCACACGTAGCCTCCTCGGGGAGCACGCCCTAAGCAGTGCGTTTGGCGCGCGTCATACTACCATGCGCAAACGCGCTTTGACGGCGTTTCGACACAGCGCCCTAGCGTCCTATGTTTCCTCAATACAAACACAGATTGACGAAACTCTGGAAGATTGGTGCGCAAGGGAATTCGTTCTCGTGTATCCTGAGATGGGCGAATTGATATTTCGTGTTGGAGGCGTGACGTTGTGTGGATTTAATTATTCTAAAAAGGATATAATGAGCCTTACAAAAACATTCAAAGTATTTATGGATAATATTTTCAGCTTACCAATCAATATCCCAGGATCAGGTCTAAACAAGGTAACGCAAATTGCCTATCAAATATAATGTGCTTAACATTGATTTCGATGCACTACTATGCATCCACGCCTCTGACTCGTTTACGCCAGTGGCGTATGTAAGAGCTGGCTGAAGAGATATTGAGAGGAGCTAGCACGGGAATGAGATGATAACAATGTGACTCTGTGCACTTAGTGCTCAGAAACATTTTAGTGTGGTGTGATTCCTGTGCGAGAGAAGATTGGTGAGCAAACATTTTGTATTTGGGGATTTCGCCTTTACGTTTACCTAGATACTATCCAAGCTTCTATCCCCAATTAAACTTACGAGGTTTTATATAAAAAAATAGCTCATAGAGCGAAAAGCGAAAAAAAATTGCTTCATAGTTAAGCCTAGTGTGTAACTATTTAAATTCATATTATTTTAGGGTATGAAAGCGAGGAAAATTCTCTTGGAACGAATCGAGACCAGTATTCGATCGAAAAGAGACACAGATTCTTCAGAAGACCAGAATGCACTAAGATTCCTGATGGAGTGTTTGGATGATACAACAGACTATGACCAGATTAAGGACCTCGCTTTAGAGCTTCTGTTCGCAAGTTTCGCGACGACGTCTAGTGCGGCTACCACTCTGGTCTTAAATCTTTCCAGGAATCCTGAAGTCGTTGCCAGAATCAAAGAGGAGTTGAAAGAGAGTGCATTGCATTCTTCGGATGATAGTCTGCAGCTAAAGTTAAAGGACATTCATAACCTGAAATATGTAAGCGCAGTTGTTACGGAGACGTTGAGGATTACACCGCCGGTCGGTGGTGGGTTCCGGAAAGTCTTGCAGACATTTACTCTTGAGGTAAGATAGTAGGCCGACCAGTGTAGATCAATGACATCATAATAGAGTCATTCCATATGAATCCAACACACTTTTTTGCCCGACCCCCTTCAAATCGCCCAATATTTTGCATGTTGGGGGTTCTACCTGAGATAACCCCACAGTGAAATTTTTGGCTCCGCACCAGCATTTTCTGATGAGCAATTTGAAATGTTCATGAGATTTGGCTAAAAAAACTCACCTTCTGACAGACAACTGCTGATATCTCTCTTGAAACTCAACGTATTGGAGAAATTCTGGTATCGTTGGATAAAGAAGAAGATTCTCTTTCCAATGATATGCACTTCGATGATGTCCGGGCTAGTGAGAATTATATAGAATTATAAAATATATTCCGCCCTTTTTCTGGGGGTTCTCCCTCGCTCAATTTTCTTATTTATACCCTAGTGATGCTAAATCAGCAGTGAAACCTTGGTCCCAGAAAAATGGTCAAATTGTCACTATACTATGGTGCCAGTTTCCAGGAAATCTGCTGATAGATTCTATGAAACTGGCACCATAGTATAGTGAAAATTTGACCATTTTTCTGGGACCAAGGTTTCACTGCTGATTTAGCATCACTAGGGTATAAATAAGAAAATTGAGCGAGGGAGAACCCCCAGAAAAAGGGCGGAACATATTTTATGCTGGTGCGAAGCGGCAAAGATTTCACTATGGGGTTATCTCAGGTAGAACCCCCAACATGCAAAATATTGGGCAATTTGAAGGGGGTCGGGCAAAAAAGTGTGTTGGATTCATATGGAATGACTCAATAGGTAGTAACGCTAGGCAAAATGTTTTGATTGCATATTGCATAGTTGTTGCATATAATATAAGTCATTTTTACTTATTTGATTAGTAATATATTCTAATAAGTCCACCTGAGGTAAATATACAAAATGGTATATGAAATGCTATGCATGGTCAATGTGATTTGAAGTGTTCAGCGACTGTGGATGAAAAGGGAAAGTCCCGTCCGGCTTACATAGAGGGCGTCATTAAAAACGTTATCAATATGACGTTTTAACCACAGTACAATACTACTCTAATAATAATAATTATACTATAATAATAATAATAATAATAATAATAATAATAATAATAATAATAATAATAATAATAATAATAATACTTTTTGTGCTGCTGCTACCATCTCCACCACTACTAATGACAATGATAATAATAATAATGATAGTAATAGCTATAACGATAATAATTAAATGATGACATTACTTTATGTTTTGTTTTCAGGGCAAGCAGATTCCAAAAGACTGGACGCTAGTATGGAGCATCAGAGAAACAATGGCTTATTCAAGCTACTACACCAATACTCATGAATTCAACCCGGATCGGTTTATGACCGACGATAAAGACGAAAAATTTACACAAAACCGCTACAATTATTGTGTATTTGGAGGCGGACCTAGAAGCTGTATCGGCAAACAATTTGCCATCTTGTTCTTAAAAGTATTCACTATCGAACTGATCAGAAAATGTAGCTGGGGAATTCAAGCAGAGGACAAACTTAAAATGGGATTTCTCCCAGTACCGCACCCGAAAAATGGACTGCCTGTGAAGTTTATGCCGAATTTATCTCCATTTTAATAAGAAGTGTTATATACAATCGAAAAGGTTGATTGTCGTTTAGTAAAATTATAAAGTTTTCAGCATGGAGTTATAACGTTCGTCCATGTTTTCAACGATAATAGAAAAATTGGAAACACAATCGGCGGGAGCAGCAAGGCATTGGAGATTAGAGAACATCCAACTTTCTTTAAGTATCTCACAAAAGTAAGTAATTATGGAAGTCACATCCCCACAATTATAGACTGATCAATTCACAGTGGTAAATCTCCCACTGCAGATACAGTGGTGGATTTGGTTTTGGGATTATTTATCATCATCTGCTACGTAAATATCGGACTTGAGATATGACAGTACGGCGGCCGAAAGATCAACGGACTTCGTTCCATACTCCGCCCTCTACCCCTTCAGTCGCTTGCCTAACTTGTCTCATTTACACTCTTATATGGAATGCCATATATTCAAGTTAATGATTATAGTCTTTATTGAATTTAATATAATTTTACTTGTACATAGTCAAGACTCTTAGATAATTGCATTGTTGAACATGGACGTGACGTGCAGCATTAACTCGAGTTCTTCTGATGGTTCATTTGGTATTTATGGGTATTTATAATGGATTAAATCTGCAATTTCAGTAACAGTACTGCCTTGATATCTAGTCATTGGCGTAACTACAAGGGTGCACGTGCCTGGGGCGCCAAAAAGTGGAAGGGGGAACCAAAATGAGCCCTGAGCATTTCAAATTCTTAAGATATTGATGAAGTTTTTTTAAATTTTATTTACTGTATTAACAACCACACCAAACTTGCAGTACACAGAACCTCCGTGCGGTTGCGATTGCGTGTCCATTTGCGGTTCGTATGAAACGCAACTACCGTAACAGAGCCGCATCCGGACAAGCGGATTCTAAAGTTGAGAGTTACACTCCATTGAAGTGCGCCCGCTGCAGTCTTGTGTAGAGACTTCATCACATAGCCTCCCATTGAGGCTGCATCTTGACGGCAACTGAGGCAGAAGTAGCCTGTCTATTACTTAAGTAATAGGTCCTGTGTTTTATTCTATTAATACATGTATCCCTCTAATTAAAGACCATTCAATTAAAGACTACCTCCAATTAAAGACCACTTTTCTATGATCGCAAATTAACATTTGTCTTTATCATTATTATTCTAATTAGACCAAAGCTGATAAAGACCATGGAAACCCTGGTCCTAAAAGACACAATACGGCATAAAAATATATATAACAATAAGAAGATAACCTTATAGGCTATATTGAGTTCAAACGTGCCATGGTTGAACTAATAATATAACGGCCTTGGGCTTTATCTAAGGGTTTCAGTGGCGGATCCAGGAATTTGAAATAAAGGGGGGGCCGAGGGAGGGATTTTTCACAGATGGTGGATGGTGGTCGACCTTTCCTACCATTAGACTCTATTTCTACCCCTCCTGTTATACTCCTACTCTTTTGGAGTCCTTAGGAGATCGGCTTTACCCACCAAAACCAGAACCGAGGCTCTAGTTGGCTCCTTGGTTCAGACCTTTCCGTCAGACATGTCGGACCCCTTGTTGACAAATTTTCTGGAGCTACCACTGGCTCAGGTAGTGTAGACGATCCACCGTAGTGTAAAAATAAAAGTACCTCCCTGGGCCCCGGTCCCTCTCTTTCGAATTCATTCTTGTTACGAGCCTGTTTGAGTACAGTAGAGTGCCTTGATGTTTAGACAATGCATTTCCGTCCTTAAATATCTCAACAACTTGGACTGACATGGGCGTTTTCATAGATTATTTTTGCATATTGTCACTCAGTTACCTCCACATCTCTTAGCCATTGATATATTTCTTTGGAAAACGGTACAAATTGTATGCATGACCAAACGACTTTGGTCAATGGTGGTTAATGGTCATATATTATAGCGCCTTAAAATATAATCCCCGTTTATGATATTGCTCAGGGCTGTAGCCACTGGTACAGTTGGTCAGGTTTCAACCTGTCCACTTTTTGACAGACCACAATTTAACTGGTTAGGTTTTAAGGCAAAATTCCACTTGCATGTTTAGACTCAATCTTCTCCCCCTTGAAATCACTCAGGAACCTGGGATGAACGTTTAATAATAATTTACATTATTTTCTTCTCTTTAGTATGTGATTTATAATGACTGATTAAGAAACTAGGATGTATTTCTTCTTCAGATGAAATTCAGTGTCAGGTCTTTGCTTTTAACAAAATCAAGTGGTACTACCCACAGTGAGCCTTTTCTGAAAATCAGGCTAAAGGTTCCCTTATACACTTGCCTAGGACACAATCATTTCTTTACTGAATTGCCTAAACCATAGAGAAAAAAAAGATTCAACTGACAAGAAACAACCATGTATTTATCTGTATATTTATTCTTGATGGCTCTTATATGCAACATTATTTTTTTTTTATAAATAAATATCTTTTAAATAGGCCTACGTGTATTGAATGTAAGTGTACCATAGTATTTGCAGTACGTGTACTGTATTATTTTTCGTTCATAGGTCTAATCATAGATTTAATGTGTCAATGTCAAAAGGCAAAATACTAAAATAACAACGATGCTGTAACAATATTTCTCTTGAATGAACCTGCCTGGTATTAATTCAAAGTGGTTTTACTGTTTTGCTTCACCATAGCCCTGAATGCTATAATTTGAAATATATTTTTATTTAAAAAAAACATTTTTAAACTTTTATATTACATTACTACTACAGAACATCATTTGAAATTGGCCTATACAATGTGAAAATAGCAAACTTTTCTAGGGGCCTCCGGCCTCTGAACTCCCACTGGGCAGCCCCTGGATCCAGCCTCAGTGCTCGCAACCTCGCCACTTCAATTCTCGTGGTTACGGCTGTTGCTTCGCCATCACTCTGTTTCAAGTAGAGATGACAAAAACGACGAAACCATTTATTTAGCTACACCACAGGGGCTAAATTCTACAATTGTTTAGCAGCAAGCAAGTTCGTAATGCAAAGGTGAACGCCACGCTTCAGTACGTATACAGGTATATCATGTAACAGTGCTTAACAGTGTTTAACAGTGTGTATATATTAAATGTGTTCATTATTTCACACCAGTTGTGTGTTAATTATAAATTGTATTACTTCTAATATACACGATAATAAAAGCAAACATTTAAATGACAAAATCATCAAGTGGCTAACCATTTATATCTATCTACCTTGAATAACTCATAAATGCTATAGATTTACCGATTTAAATATTCCAATTCAAAATACATATTTAAACGTAAACCAATTTGTATTTATGCCTCAGTGTGTACCTGAAAAAAATTAGAAATACAAAAACAAAGATTTAGTATCCCAAAATTAAACTTAATCTGTGAAAAAATTAGAAAGAAGCAAATTTCAACTGATTTGTGTAGGGATATATACCAGGATACACCAAAAAAAGTTAGGTGGGATCGGGGGTGGGGTCAAAGGTCATTAACCCCGGTCTAAAATACTAAAAAAAATGCATCTCCCGAACACTCTATAGTATAATAATGGTTGATCTTGGTGTCAAAATGCACATAATTAGATAGTAAATAAGAAAATAATATTTAAAGGCCTCATAATCAAATCATAAAATTAAAAATGTAGGTCAAAGTTCAAAATGTTAATAATGGTATTTTTTAGTCACTAAATTGGCATATATCATTTTAAAATATTACAATGAATAAAATTTCAACTTACTTATGTAGGAATGCATACTAGGATACACCAAAATAAAGTTAGGATGATAAGAGAGTGGGGAAATTACTTTTTTGATGTTAAAAGTCATTGACCCAACCTAAAACACTAAAATATATATCTTGGGAACACTCTATGATATATGGTTGATTTTGGTGTCAAAATGCATAGAACAATACAACTAAGAAAATATTATAAAAGGACCCTCATAACTACAACTATAACTCATAACTATAACTATAACTACAGATTCAATTCAATTCAATTCAACAAAACATTTATTTTCTTCCAAAGGCACTAGAAAATACAAAATTGCAAATACAAAAAAACAAACATCTTGTGTTGGGCAGGCCTGAAAAAAGGGAGAAAAAGCAGCTCAATATATAACAGCACGACGAATTTCAACCACAGAAAAATTTAATAATTTAAGATAAAAACAATTATTAAAGTACTACGACGTTCCGCAAACTATGGGCAAACTCGGTATATAACATATATACAATATTAATATTTAATTAAAACTATAGTATAGTAATTGCTGACTTCCTGTTAGTCTGCACTCATTTTCAAGCATAGTACAGTACACTGAGCCACTAGGTGGTAGTGAGACGCAACAATGCAACTGCAGCACTGAACATGTTAGTCACCCTGCTAGAAACATGTGCTCTGTATGCGACTGTATCACGGTCGTATGATGGACTTATATTACTCCAAAACGAGCGACTAAAAAAGGTGGGCTAAAACTACATTCGTTACCCAACCTTTCATGTAACAACGACAAATGATTTGCCATTATGACGACAAATGTTTGGGTTATCTCCTTACAAAAAAGTATCATTAGTGGAAAAGAAGTGCAAATGAAAGGTGTGATGAAAGCACGACGGTAGATCAGGGACGGCGCCAGGAATTCCCAGACGAGGGGTCCAAGCTCCCCGACAAGGGTTCCACAACCCCTTCCCACCGTCGGGGAAGTCTAGCACCCCCTCCCCTTCTTTCGTTGGGGAAAAATTGTGTTGATGGTATATATTCTTTATTTAAAAAGAATAATTTGATAGAAAACCATGCAAGTTAAGAGGCCCCTGTCGCGGGTACCAACCCCTTGTCGGGACGTGATAGCGGCCCCCTGTCTGGGAACATCTGGCGCTACCACCACAATAGTATAGCGATAGTGAGGGGGCCCTTTGCCCCTGGTCCCCCACTAGCGCCGCCCCTGCAGTAGATGAACCGCCAGTGACTGTGTGCAAGGAAGCGGTAAGGCTGGTTCAGTTTTGGCCGGACCAATAATTTACAACTCAATATCGTTTGTAAGCCAAATTCTACTTTCTCTGACGCAATCGAACATAACCTGCACATTCAAATTTGGAGGGGGGCTGGCTGGGACCTCCCTCGAACCTGCCACTTCCCAGTAGTGAAACTAGGTTCCGATGGGCCCTTTTTCGAGAGTGCAGTCATCACACAGGTTAAGAATGCTATATCTAGAAAAATAATGACCAAATCACAATTAGTTTTTAAAATAATATGAAACACAATGTATTGCAAAAATTATATAAAAAAATGTCTTATCAATTCCATAATTATATGAAATGAGATGCTTATTCCTCAATGAATAAATAAAGTGCAAGAAACACGAACACATTAATAAAATTTGAATTACAATGACTATAGGTCTATTATATTTATACAAGTTGACTGATACAACATTGTACATTTTAAAATAGGAATTTTAGTCATTTTAGTAAAGATTAAAACTATAAAAACCCAACATTTTGCTATAAAATAATGGCAGCATGCTAATTAAATAAAACATGATCAAAACTTCTTGCAAGGCTTTTGGTATTTTGGTCCCTGAAGCGGCTGGGTTGCTGGGCCTCAGCTTAGTGTCTAGAATCGTTAATATTCCGTGAAGTAAATAGTTTGCGGAACGCTGCTGTAGGCCTACTATCAGTCATGAAAACGAAAATTCTAATTTCACATTTGAATTTGTATATTTAGGCAAGTTATTAACTTCAAAATAAAAATTTGAATAAGAAAAAATAAAACTCCCCTCAATTTTCGGACATTTCCTGTATTTATTTGCATAGGCCTATATATCCTTAAATTGGCTAGTAATAAATTTAAGGATTTTTTTTTAAATGTCTGTAAATCAGTAAAACTACTTTTTTCGATCTATTTTTTATTGGAAGCTAATATTTTTGTTTGATCATTTTAAATAGACTATTCATAATTTTATGTAGATTTTGGAGGTATTTTCCTGTCTTTATGACTGATGACAGTACATCTTTAATAAATAAATATCTAAATTAGTAGGATTCCTTTCCTGATTCCTCTTCATCACTAACTTTGTCTGCAAGCACTCCATTTCTGCAAACCCCACAAGCAGAAACACACATGATATTCCACTATTAATGCAGCTACACCTCACAATTTGATATGTCCAGAAATGCTGGACACGGTGTCAAAAACGGGCATCTTACCCAAATGTCTGGTCTGGAAATGACACCGTTTCCAGCATTTCTGGACATCAAATGTGCTCTTTACAAATGCAACTACCCTACTAGTGTTATAACAGCATTTGCATTGCAAGTTTCAAGTCAACTGAATCCACAATCCGAAACGCTGGATAACAATGCAGATAACATATGGGTGTGGGGATAATCCTTTTCATTCATTCATTCATGGATTTTTTATTCAATATTCAATATCCAAATTTCAGGCAAAAAAAGTTAAAATTACAATTATGTCATAAAAACAACAAAATTACCATAAAAAATGAGTAAGTGAATAAATAAATAACGGGGGAACAGAAGGCAGTATAATGTATTGTAGACGAATCTAAATTGCACATTATTTACATTGCCCTGGTTGGGGTCATTAAAACAGTACATTAAAAAGCGAAATTACACGATTACAGGTAAAAACGAGTAAAAAGAAATGTAAACTAAATTGATCACATCAACATTAAATCAAATTTAAACATGGATATATCAAAAAATTAGACAGTACATTAAATCAAATCCTATTGGAATTGCTTGTTATCTGAAATTTCATAAGCAAGCAGCCAGTTGCAAAATTGATCCAGATCGATTAACATAACAATTCTTTACATTTTGACATTTGACCTCATTTTTTGAGGTAATGAATTGGTTATGAGGGTCCTTTTATATTATTTTCTTAGTTTTTGTATTATTCTGTGCATTTTGACACCAAAATCCACCATATATTGTAGAGTGTTCCCAAGACACATATCTTAGTGTTTTAGGTTAGGTCAATGACCTTTAACCCCAACAAATTAATTTCCCCAACCTGCTATCACAATAACTTTGTTTTGGTGTATCCTAGTATGTATTCCTACACAAATAAGTTGAAATCACATTCATTGTAATATTTTAAAATAATATGCTAATTTAGTGACTAAAAACTACCATTTTTGACATTTTGACTTTTGACCTAAATTTTCAAAGTTAAGAATTGATTTTGAGGGCTTTCAATATTATTTTCTTTTTTGCTATATATTTCTGTGCATTTCGACACCAAGATCAACCATATATCATATAGTGTTCCGGAGATACACTTTTTAGTATTTTAGATTGGGGTCAATGACCTTTGACCCCTCATAAAAAATTTTCCCTACCCCCTAACCCACTTACTTTGTATCCTTGTATATATCCTGTCTCTTATACACATCTTGACTGTGTGCAAGGAAGCGGATTGTCTGATATGTGGCACTGATGCAAAT